GATTACTCTGATTTTAAATTAGATAGGTATCTAGAATTGTTGATGTCTCTACTTAATTCCTCAAAAAATGCAAGAATTAGAGTTAACTACGTTCTAAGACACATCAGTAGGAATAGTTTATCCAAGACCCACATCTCTATACTTCAATTTCATTTCAATTTTAATAGCATTCCATTCACGATTTCAATCGCCTACGACTCAATAATGAGAAAATATCAAATATTTTGCACCAATTCCTTCATCAAAAGCTATTCTCCTAGCTTCCAGAACTAAGTGTAACTCATAATTTCATATTTGAATACATGCCCCAGTTTATTTTTACCCCTTACTGCATTTCTGTGAATGTTAAAGGTTCATGTGTCAAAAGTATGGTAAGAATTTAAAATAAAAAGGGTAAAATAAATAAATTATCAATAGTAAAAAGCTTTAAACGATTCCAAAACAATGATTCAGTTTTCACATTCCAAATAAACAGTAGAGATTAAAGATGAAAATAACAAAAAACTCAATCGAAGTTTGTAAACCCTAAATAGAGTGATAACATTATGCATCACTGGTGAATGACTTATCACCAGAAATCCAATGAAACATACTAACCCTTATTAAGAAGTACATTCCGTCCATGATAAGCGTCGACTTTTTATGCTTTCTTATGCCATGTATGTTGAAGCAGCCAAGGTATGTGATATTTTGCATCCCTAAGAACAAAATAAACTAAATAATTGTAACTTATATATTTGATAAAGTTTAAATGAACCAATACCGCCCCCTAAACCACCTCCATCACCAAACCCTCCAATTCCTAAAATTGGATGATCCAAGGAGAATGTTTTCTCATCATTGAAAGAACCCTTTGAGCCAACAAGATTTCTTGCGGTGCTGGTGCAAGCCAGAATACCAATAACCAAGAGAACAAATTTGGAAGGCATCTCAATTTGTGAGTGAAAGATAGGTCTTGACTCTTGATTTATATAATGCAATAAATCAAGAATTATTGTAGTGGACAACTAAGAGAGGGATTTAATTTCCCCATTCCTTCATCTGTAAACCGCTCTCTAATTGATAACGTAAGAATTTATGTGGCTTATGTAATTTATTAAGAAAACTTTAACATTAATGAAATCTTAATTGAAGTAGTTTAGTGAAGTTAATGAATTATTTAACATTAACGATTTTCTATTTAATAAATGCATGTGATAGATATGCATGTCTATCTTTTCATCTCTCAGGGTCGTTTCAGTGGAGTTCTTGATCATATAACAAAATTCTTGAAAAATCTTGAGTATTTTAGTTCCAGTGTTAATTATAGAAAGTATTTATATGGTGGCCCTGAGTACAGGCGAAGCAGGCGATTGCCTAAGGCCCCATTTTGGTGAGGGTCCCAAATTATGTAAAGTTAATTGGTTGGTCAAAAAAAAAAAATGAAAAGCATATTTATGAAATTCTGTAATATAGAAGTATCATATACAAACATAAGAAACTAATAATGCATTTTGAAAAGAATGGAAATTATATTTTAGGAGTTGTTTGAACCCCATTTTTTTCTAAAAATTAAAAAATCATTTTGAAGTAGTGTTACGATGGAGAATGTTTGGTTAAAAAATAAGAAAAAATTTTGGATTTACGTGTAATATTATTTTATTAAGAAATGTATGGTTGAAATGGTGTCAAATTATTGTTGAAAAATGTAATTTGATGAAAAAATAGGCCTCAAACAATAGCTTAATCTCCATCAAACAGGGGCTAAAACTCTATACAAAATAATTCAAAATATAGGGCCCCAATTTGAAATTGGCATAAGGCCCCCAAAATATGAGGGCCGGCCCTGAGCGATTGGGACAGTCTCAAAGCCCATAGGTTTATAACTATGAAACAGGACAGCAGCTGGTCACAAACCTCAACGTGGCTTGACAGGCTTCTCTGTTAGTTAAGGTTTGGGTTGATTTTAAATCCAACCCAATATCGGAACCATCCAAGTCAGTTTAGGTGAATTGAGGCCCAAACTGACCCAATCCTGCCACAAAACCCGAACCAACCTCGGTTTGTGGTTCGATTTATATTATTGGTTTGGTCTTGGACTCAAATTAATTATGAAAGCAAATATCAAAATTTTAAAGACATATCGAAATGAATTAAGAAAACCAAAGCCTAATCAAATTCCGACATAAATTTGGCAGTCAAGTTCATAGGGTCTCTAATGAATTGTGGTGTGAATTGAATAGCATTAGAAGAGAAGAAAGAACAGCATTTGAACTTTTTGAGTTAATTATTAATGATTTTGAGAGTAAATTCTTGATTTATTTCCAACAAGAAACTATAGAATGCATTAACTGAACACAACCCTTTTTCTTAGGCCAAGTGACCATGGTTAATCCATACATATAGATAGACAAAGAATATAATACCAGTACTCCACTAGGTTTTCACACAACATTGCATAGAACAAACACACAAAATAAGACATATTAACGAGTCTATGATCATTTATGAAGCAAGATAATCTACTTCCTCCGGTCGATCTTTGCTGATCAGTCTTCCTTAAGTACCAAACTTGATTATCTTAATTGTAGAAGCACTTCATTATATCATCTGTCCACAAAAAAATAAAAAAATTAACTGCATCAATCAGTTTGATCCTGTTCATAGTATAGTGTCAAAGAAATTTTGTTGCTACGAAGGAGCGAATTTTATGGATTATGGTCTAATCCCTCAAGAAAGGGGTAAAAACATAACAAAATCGAAGAATAAGCAAGGTGACGCACGGATAGTTAGGCCTCAGCATTGAATAAAAATTCTCGAGGAGACGTGTGCATTGTATGGTTAGGTCCCAAACTGTAGTGCATTTGAAAATCAGCGACGCGAATGTTACATATATAATTTGGAATTCTCGTAGTTATAACAAGAATGGAGAAGAATAGTAGCAATGTTCGAGATTCTTACACTAATTGAAGAGGTGGTTGATCTTGGGTAGGGTAATCATCATTTGGTTGCAGCCCATTGACTTGAAGGTAGTTTCTAGCATCGAATGGCTGAGGTTGAACAAGCTCGTAGTCGGAATTCCCAGGCATCAGACTCATGTGCTGCTGGGCTCTCTCAGTTTCAGCTATCTGCAAAATTACACAGACAATAAAATAGAACATAGACTACTGTGCAAATTTATATAATTCCATTTATTCATATATTATCAACACACAAAATCCACAGAGAGAGAGAGAGACCTTAGCTCGAAGGTACTGATTGTTATGATGTAAGTCGACCTCCTGCTGTCAAATCATTTTTCCATGGAAAGAAAATAATCGTTTAATTGATATTTGAAATAAAACGATAAAATGTTCAACATAATCACTCTTCTCTTGGCTAACTATAGCTATACAAGAAATTATTAATGCAAGCTTGACTCTTTCACTTTTGTTCATAGAAATGAATACTTCAAGCAGATTTTGGAACATTCTACAGTACAGAATAAACTTAAACAAGAAGGGCAGAACCGGACTTGAGCATAGGCTCAACAGGCCGTTGCCTCATGCCCAGTTCTTCAAGGGGGGCCCAAATTTTTATTTTCCATTTTTTTATTTTGATTTTTTTGGTAAAACCTACTAATTAACGTAAAAGAATCCTCCCATAGTTAAGATGTTTTGTAAATGTCTTTTACGTTAAATTTTATATTAGCAATTGGTTGTATAGTACACCGTTGGATTTTGATTTATGCTGATTTTGGGAGCCCAATTCATGGAGTTCGCCTCGAGCTCTCACGATCATAGAACCGGCCCTGAAGAAGGGTTATTTGTAACAAATACAAACAGATATCTACAGGAAGTTTCCAAATTAATGGGTTTATTCTTACAATATTTATTCATAAGCATATATCTGCAAGAATTGACATCAGCAGCACCCATTAATTGTGTATTTGATTTTGAAACCATGTTACTCTTTAATTAATTGTCATTGTGCATTTAATTAATTATCTAAGTGAAAATATTTTTGAAAACAATGTACAGAGAGGCTTGCAATTATGAAAATTGTTGCAATGAGTCCTTGTAGAGAGCAAAACTCACATTCTCGTACTATAGAGTGTTAAGGGATAAAATCTCGTATCGAATAAAGATAAAACATAGACCAACTTGTAGGGACTTGTGTTATTCTACTTAAAAGGATTATCCTTTCCAGATGAAATCTCAAGTTTTAATATGCTATTAGAGCTCATTAAACTCCTACAAATAACTCGATCAGATTATGAATCAAAAAAATGAACTCACGGATTTTCAGATTGATTTGCTCAAACGAGTCACTATCTTGAGAGAACATATTATGTGTTTGAGTTGCTCCACTTAATAAGGTTGACCTTTTAAGATGGAATCCAGGTTTTAATAAAGAGAGCTCTATCTAACTGCATATTATAACCTATGGATCCACAACTACTCCACAGAATTATCTTACGCCCTCGCATATAACTTCACGACCTGCTAGGTATCTGTAACTGGCCATGGTTAAAAGTACAGATACCTGAACTTGAATGATGGTCTTGTTCAGTTCTATCCAATGCTACACATCAAATATGCAGCTGTTCACATATTTTACATTTCATTAAAAAACTAATCTTAATTAAACTGTGAAAATAACCTTTTTGTAAATATTTGGGAACTGCTATATAGGTTTAATGAAAGGCTAAATCCAGGTAATTATAAAATAACATAACGGCACGAATTAATGATTTCTTACCCTCTTCTGCATGTACTCAATTTCAGCAAATAGCAGTTCATTCTGAGATTCATAAAGAGAGGAGACAATTTAGTCGCAGAACTGTGAAATGATCAAAGTAATTTCGCACATATACATAATTTACTGACAAGAACTCAAGAACATAAAGTATTAATCGGCACCTTTTTTGATCGGATTCTGCTAATGCCTCTTTCAACCTTAGTCTCGAGGTTCTTGAGTTCTCTGAGGGACAGTGCCCCTAGAGATTCACCAAGCATGTTCCTACATCAAAAGAGCCAGAGAATTGTTGAAACTCGGTAATTATTGCACCAAATATGATAAGATGAACCAATAAAATAAATTTCACCTGTTCTGGTTCTGCATATTACTAATTTGTTGACGCAGTTTTGATGCTTCTTGCTGATAGAACTGCAATGTTCTCGAATAAAGGTTTGAAATTTGAGATATTTGGTGTATTAAATTAGAACAATGTTATCTAGCACAAACGATAGATTTAATAAGATGTGAAATTAAGTGACTTGATTAATTGTACTCTTTATTTAATGTTACATTAATGCCACCTGCACCTGTGTTTTGATAGCAGCAGTGCTAAATAACATTACTTATTATATTTTGCATTTCCATTTTCCCAATGTAAACCCTAGAAACTATCAACTGGGCTTGTAAAAATGAACCCTTGATTCTCTCTAAATTTGTTGAAACTCACACATTTAAATTTGTAAAATAAGGAGAAAATTAAATCTGAAACTGTACCTGAGCATTAGCTTCAGATATTGAACCATTGTTTGAGGAATCTGAGCAGGCTTTCTTGTACCTTTCAATTGTTTCTTTGACACTGCACCATTGGAAATCAACAATGTGTTTACACTTACACATATAGATACCACTCTATACATCATAGGTAATTTCGAGTAGTAGAGTGTATTAAGCAAATATATTCGGAATTATAATTATGTAATTGAATTCAAGATTCGAGTTCGATCAATTCTTATGAATCGAGTTGTTTCCAATGAGGTTTTGTACAAGGATAAAATGTTCGAAATTATTCTAAACTTTTTTGTGAGTGTTAAGGATACAATTAGTGATTTATTAAACATTTTACTTTGATTATAGTGAAGAAATAAATAAACTAGTTTTTCATAAAGCTGGGTATGCAAAACTATGAACAGAAAGTGAAAATGAGAGTGTTGTCTAAGTCAAATCAATTCATTCTGTCTACTCAAATTGTCCCATTTCATGAATGAATATGAAATTAACCAAACATTGAGGAGACACCCTGATTCCTCAGTTACTGCAACCTTAATTTTGTCGAGCCACTTATTGGCTGCCCTTGAGAAGCAGGACTAAATCCCGAAATATGATTGGCTCATTTTTTTAGGGTTTATTTTAGTCTTAACTTCATTTACACAATGGATAATACCCTTTAACTCAAGGTTACTCGCCAATCAAAGAATTGAGTATTGTCCACTTGAAATTCTGAGTACATCAGAACCGTCCATTTGAAGCACCCATTCCCATACATCAGAAACAGAGATCAGACGTTCAGAAACTCTCCATTGGTTGCCAGTTTCCGTGTGTTTGTGTATATATATGTATGTATATACATATTACAGACCTATAAGAATTGGGTACCTCTCATTGGTTGGCCACTCTCTTTCACTTCTGTTCCATTGCTCTTTTAGTTTCAACAATTTCAGAAGCTTTGTAAAAGCCTTTAACTGAGATAACTTAAAGAAATATGGGTTCTATTTTTCACCATTCCAGATAAAATTTGAGAGAGAAATCAAGAAAATTTATTGGTAACGATGACCCTTCACTTCCTTTGGTCAGAAGTCAAGAACAAGAAAATCGATTGTAATATGACTAAAGATTCTTGTTCCGAGACCATTTGTATATATTTACATTCAATTCTAACTGAACAAGAAAACCCTTGTTTTCAATCTTCCCCCAAATGAAAGAAAACAGAAATAAAGAAACAAAGAACCCCAGATCCTAATTCCTTAAAGCAGTTTGAGAAATGTACAAGTATGTTAAACGTACAACCCGTGCTAACTTTAACTAGGATTTGATGGGTTGGTGACAGATCTAACGGTCAGCAAGATGGGGATCTACACATACTAGAAACCCTAATTATGGAACAGATCTAGTGGTTTGCTTTAGAAATTTTTTGGCCTATGTGATTTGAAGAAATAAACCCTAATTAGGTTAATCTTTACATTATTTAGTACTATACGTGTGGCAAAGGAATGATCAAAGAGTACTTTTTGAAACCATAATTTCAGTTTGATTGGTTGTGGAAGATAGATTTGACTTGATATTCTACACATACTAGAAACCCTAATTATGGAACAGATCTAGTGGTTTGCTTTAGAAATTTTTTGGCCTATGTGATTTGAAGAAATAAACCCTAATTAGGTTAATCTTTACATTATTTAGTACTATACGTGTGGCAAAGGAATGATCAAAGAGTACTTTTTGAAACCATAATTTCAGTTTGATTGGTTGTGGAAGATAGATTTGACTTGATATAAGATAAAAATTAATTTGGATTTGGGAAAGCGTCTCTTCTCATAGCCCATTTATTCACTTCTGTGATGCAAAATCTGCTTGCTATGGAAAAATGAGAGCTTTAGAGCTTTCTTGGTAGGAGTCTAGGAGATAGGAAGAGAAAGAAAGAGGAAATTTAACAACAAATCAACAATGGAGTAAGATTGAAACTGGTCTCAGAGCTGTGCACTGTACATATAATTTGCTCTTATTTTGTAAGAGATTTGTGCATTTACTAAGAGATGGACTAAATGGGATCAAGAAAACTGAAACCCCTTAGAGCACAGTGAAAATAAAACAAAAAAAGGAAAATTGGAAAGACAAATGAATCTTCGTTCAGAAAACTCAATCTTCGCTGTGCAAGAAATGATTGTATCCTTGTGCTTAAATCTTCCCAAAAATTCTATACTAGAAATAAACATATCAAACTAAAATTTGTTCCACTGTCAGGGTAAAAGAAATTAAGAAGAAGGGGGAAAAAAAGAAAAAAAAAAAAAAAAGTGCCCTAAATTCTTATCTTACTGAAAAACAGAAACAAAAATGTCCTTTAGAAGATTAACAAAGTATGTGACCACCACCAGAAAAAAGAAAAGCTCCAGATCCTTAAAAAAAATCTAATTAGGCCCTTTCAAATTATGATTTTGAGTGTCTATTTGTATTCAATTCACCTGTTGTTGGCATATTCATAGAGACGACCACGGGCGGAGAAGACAACCAAAGCAACCTCAGCATCACAGAGTACAGATAATTCATAGGCCTTCTTGAGCAAGCCATTGCGGCGCTTACAGAAGGTGACCTGACGATTTGTGGTGTTCTCGATCCGCTTGATCTCGATCTTTCCCCTACTGATTTTCCTTGATTGATCACTCTGCAATGCCATTTTCTGAGCTGAAACAAGGGAAACAACATCAGTACCTACCTAATTCTTGAACAAAATCAACCTTTGAAAATAGTTTTACTAATAAAAATTCATAAGCAAAAGAAATCTTCAAAAAACAAAAAGTTCAGAGAATTTTATTGTCGATGACTTCTTTGGAGTCAAAGAAAGTTTTTTTCTTTTGTGTGTAGAAAATACCGATGTCAAAGGAAGGAATTGATTGGTGACAGTACAGGTGAACCAAAGAAAACTGATTTTTAACATATTTTTAGCTTCGCTTCACAAACCTGGAAAGGAAACTAGGACAGAAATTAAGGTTTTTGGATATTTGAATTTTCTTGACTTCCCCACAAGTTTCTGCACAAGAAGATGCAGAAAATGGAAGGGAACTGCAATGGAAGGTGTGTATTTATAAAGTAAACAAAGACTTTTATTACATGATAATACAACCTTAATATGTACTCATTTTATTACTTTTTGGTGTGTTTTTTTTTTTATTGAAGAACCAGAAGATGAGGTATAAATAGGGGAATCACTAATAATACAGCCTTCCCAGACCATCCATTTCATTTCCCGTTTACTTTTTTCATTTCACTTTTCTTTACTTGTCTTTGTGATTAATTCTTTTAAGTTTCTTGTATGAGTCTTAATTTAAGTACAAATTCAATTAGTTTACATTTAATTACATGTGTAGTTCTAGGACTCCAATTACAATTATAATAGAACTTTCATAGTAATTACAATCAAGTACAAAACTTTATTGTAATTAAAATTAAGTCCAAACTATTATAATTACCGTAATTAAATTTCAATATTTTATAGAGCTATCATAGGGATCTGATTGGACATATATTATCCAACTTTTAATAATTAGATTTTGTCTAGTCGACCCTAGACCACCCAATCTATTTATTAATACTTGCTTTTTTCACTAAAAGCAAAAAGCTGAACTCTTGGAATATATATGATCACAGAAGTCAATAAAACTGTAATATTTTTCTCTGATTTACCGTATATGTATTTTATCCGATAATTAGGTATGAACATAAATGACTGTTTTGCCTTTCTAATTATTCTTACTAACTTACGTTTCATTTTCTTTAATGGCCCTATGAACTAATTATAGATGTCGAAATTTAGTCGTCGCTAAACACTGAGCTCAGATTTTAACCGTTCAATAGGAAATACTTAAGTAATCACTCTACCCATTTTTTAGGGTGACGGTTTTTGACATGAATTCATGTTGTCTACTCCGCTCATTCTCAAGTTCCCAATTCATCGAGATATTTAATCAATTAAATTGAGCTCACCCATTGATGAATCAAAAACCATTAAAATCACGAAAACATAATCCTGTCAAGGGATTTAGATAAAATACACAGGGGTCTAGTGAAATTTAATTCTCCGCACAGTCATGCAATAGTATTAAATTCGACACACGGTCCAATTAATATACTCTAAGTGTACTGTGTCACCTTTAACTATTTTTATGATAAGGACAAATCACAAACCTAAGTAGTGAATCAGACAACACTACAACCTTTTAGTACAATGTGCCAACCCTTGTACATAGGTTGTGAACAAGTTATTTATTATCAAAATATAAGTTGTGTCACGTTGCGCTTCTCAACACAAGTACCCAACTCATATTATCACAAGTGATCACAGTCCGTTTAACTTCGCATGCTCAATAATAAATAAATGCAATAAATAAATAAAATCACAATTTATTTATTATAGATAATTATTTTATTATAACAAAATATATTATATGGGCACACAACCAACAATAACAAATGAATCGAACAAAATAACATAAAAAGATTTATATAATTGATTTTAAGAAAAAATTTGTTCAAGTGTTGATTTTGACGTAGACCCTCCCATAGAGTGATGTGGTCTGACTTGACCTAGCAATAGCAATGGGCTTAATAAGTCTTCACCCTATCACACGTTGCCTCGATATTCTTATGCTATGCAATGCAAATTGTCTTCGAAGATTGCAGACGTCATTCTTCCATGCCCACCAAGAGACACATGCTTGACATTGCCATATGACAACTTTTATTATTATTATTATTATTATTATTATTTATTATTATTATTATTATTATTATTATTATTATTAATTAATTAATTAATTAATTAATTAATTAATTAATTAATTAATTAATAAGGTTATATTTCCTTTAAAAAGTTTGAAAAAACTAATATATAAGGATTTTTTTATTTTAAATCAAATGAATTGTTTTTGTTAAAAAAGTATTGCTAGGAACTCTCACCGAAAGAAAATAAAAATAAAATGCAACTAGTTTTCTAACACGCTACTTGACATGACAACTAATTATATCAATGTATGGACCCACCCCATTACCATACCTAGAAACGAAGTGGCGCAATCCTCATTTTAACATCTTGCAATAAAACACTAACATATAAAATAGCAAAGCGGAAATGAGATTGGATACATTGGACCACCCGCATCCCACCCTAACCCTTTCTAACTTCGAACATTGTTGGAAGAGTGACACTATCGTTAGGGTCAGTCTTGAGATTTGAGAGTCGTACTTGTAGGCCAAACTTTATATATGGCCTTCAATAAATAGGTGAAAATAAAATTATATACAATCATTATAAATAATTTTTTATTATATAAAAGCATTCAAAGTTACAATAATATGAAAATTAAAACTTTCAAAAAGTTCACTTTAATTTACTCCTATAGTATTTTGAAGGGGGAATATTGAACATCAATTTTGCTTAGAGGCAGAGGTGAATTATAATAAACGAAGGTGGGGCATCGTTTTCTGTCTTCGAGTTGTTTGAATAATAGACTTTAAAAATTATTTAGGCTAAATTACAATAAATGATAATCAATAATTATATCCCTCATTAGTTCTCACAATTCCTGAAACAGAAAATAGGAATCTCCATGGTGCGATTATCAAGAATCAATGAAGAAATTGATCACCAATTTTCAACATAATTTCCCTAGAATAACTGTTTTCTTCTTGTCTACATTTGCTACAAAGTTTTACATCTATTTGTGAAATACGTAGTTAAACAATCATTTTTAAATAATTGTTTCAGTCTCAGGCTTTGACCACAATATTTTTTGATCATTTCGTGCGAAAATTATGACGGTGACCGTGATTGTGATCTATAGATTGTGTTACTGTGAGTTCCAGCCAAAAAAAAACTATGATAATCTATACTTTTTTCAAGTGTGCAAAGACAATTTAAGATATGAACTAAGATATGTGTCTTTCAAAAATTATCATTTCATGTTAGGATTGTCATTGCGTTGTGTGACTGAGACATGAAGTTTTGTGATTGTGATCTAAAATATTTGTAATACATAATCCGACTGTGATATGCTATGTTGTGTGGTTTGATTTAAAAGGTTGTGTGTATGTTGCAGTCATTTATAAATATGTGACATTATTTTGTGGTTTCATTTGTAACATTTTATAACATTTGTAACGTGTATTACAAATTAAAATTTCAGATTTCAATCTCAAACCCTAAAAGAAATATCCTTCGCCATGCCTACTCCAATTGTCACCACTATCACCACTTCTTCACCTTGATCGGATTCAAAACCTCAAAAACTCCAAAATCACCTATCACCAATGCCAAAGTGAGGAGTCCACCTCCATCACACAATCTTCCATGCAACTACCAACCATTTTCAATTCTTGAGATATCCACAAATTCGGCGACGGTGGTGGCAGCAATGATGCAAGGTAAATGTGGTGGTGGTGGTGGTCGCAGCATAGTGGTAGGATAGGGTTTTAGGTGTTTAATTTTTATGGTGGTGATAAGTGATTTCGATCATTTCTCGCACTAATGAATTTGATAATTTTCTTATTGGCGAATCTTCAATTTCAATAACCTTTAGGTATGTTTGATTACAAGCATTAAATTTGTATGGAAAAAAAGTTCTAGGCAGTTGAATTGCCTAGAATTTAGTTGCATGAAAATTATTATTAGCTGTGTTGGATTGATTTAATTTTCAATCTAAAAAATACTATACTTATCCATCTTTTATTGGTAAGTAGATGAGATGGAGGGAATAGATGAGAGAAAGGAAGTGAAAGCACTTTCATTGTTTTTTAGAAAAATATGGTCACGTGACCAACTTTTGAAAAATATTTTTCACGGAAAAATATTTCTATCCAACACCCCCAAAAGCAGGAACATGAATATTGGAAAAATGGCATTTTTCATGAGAAATAAAGCTGATCAAATACACACTTAAAATTGTTTCTTTCTTATTTTTAATGGTTTATAATTGGTGGTGACTAGTCGTGTGGTGATTTATAGCAGTGGTTTGTGGTAGGCATTGGTGATAGTAGAATGGTGACAGTGTAACAATGTGTATCACAAATCTAACACAATGTTGTTACAATTGGCAGTGGTGGTGATGTCCACGGTGGCTGTGTAACACAGCGTGTTACAAGCGATGGAGGAGATGACAACAATGATGATAGAATGTCTATAACAAAGTTTGTTACGTGTGATTGTGCATTACATTTTTTGTAATACATGTTACAAATGTTAAAAAGTTACATTTTTTTTTTTGTAATACGTTACAAACGTTACAAAAAGTATACACGTCTGTGAGGAAAAAAAACACACACACACAATGGTATAAAAATGAACTAATCAGTATCTTGAGAAAAAAAAGGGGTTTATTAAGCTTCACAACCCCATCCATCACTATACCTACATAAGTTTTTTTCCCCCTCAAAATAAAAATTTTCTTTGTTATTCAAGTCATTTCGAGCTACCCAAAATAATTATTTAACTCCACGTATAAATTATTTATATTTTGAATGTATAAAAAATTGAAATTAATAAAAACACAAAGTTATTATAAATTGAATTAAGCTATATGTATAACTTCGTTTACACCTTGGTTGACAACTTGATGACGTTAAAGTATTATATGGTTGGATCAAATAGTAAGATGTGAAAGATAATGTGAAGTTATGCTATATGTAAACCAAATTCTACACGTAGCAAGATTGTTATAAATTTTGCATTGATGACAGGATGACGACTGGAGGCATATAATTGATAGCTGACAAAGTTGATGCCAAACCGTTCATAAAGGGGACCATAGCCCTTCATGTGCTGTGTCAACTTCTACCCTATTATCTGTTGCTCTGCACAAAAAGGTTGGGAAAAAATCTTCCATGGGGTGGTTGCATCAGGTGGCGGTGCGACCGCCCTATCATGGTGTGCCAGTTCGTCGGGTGGCCCACCACACACTAAAATTTTCTCAAAGGTTGGGCTTCTAATTTTCACACCCCAAAAAAAAAAAAAAAAAAAAAAAAATCTAGAAGATGCCCGTATAACACCATGGAAAGACGAAATAAGTAATATTCCATCTATATTTTCGGCGTAATAAGCTATAACATAGAGTCCCTTACTCTTTTGAAATTCCCTATTTTAAAAATTGCGAGTACGAA